TGTGTGCGTGTGTGTGTTTGTGTGTGCGTGTGTGTGTGTGTGCGTGTGTGTGTGTGCGTGTGTGTGCGTGTCATACAGTTCACCTGCCTCGTCCTGTTGCGGAATCCTTCAGACTTTCATGACGTAGCATCAAACTTGGTTGTCTAATGTGCATAGGGACCAACATGTCGTAGTTTCGGTCTAGATTTGTGAGTCCTTTACATGCCGGGTGGTTCGGTGCGGGCTTTGTCAAGACACGAGCAAGCCAACAAGCCAAAGTCCAACAACAATTAGGGTCTTGTTGTGTGTCGTGCGAGGCCATCGCAGAGCAAACGCGCCCTGCGACGAGGTTCATTCCCGATGACAGCAAGGCTCTTAGTGGTGTATTGCGGTTTGAAAGGCTCCTAGCCCACACCGAGGTCAAGAGCCTAAGAGCCTCAGCATCACAGAAGGGCATCCTATACTCGATGCTCCTGGGCACTCTCGCTCCGAATCCCAGGCTTCAGGGTGACTCTGCTCACCTTTACGGACCTGGACCTCGATAACGACGAGGCGATGAAAAGGGCCAGCGGTTGAGCATTGTGGGCTTTCAGTTTTTTTTGCGGGTTTGGGCTCTGCAAACCGTGTGCTTCTTTGGTTTCTGGAATCATGTCTCCGATACCCCGGACCGCTGCACCTCGCTCATCTCCCTGCCAGCTTGGTGGTACCTTGGGCTGGTTTGAGCACAGCCAAAGCTACAAGGTGGTTGCTCGGTGCGGAAATGTGGCTCCCAGTCATCTTCAGGGGAAGTTTCGCAGATTGGTACTCTGTGCTGTAGAGGGGATTATGAACGCTTGCGAGGGCGATCCTGAAGGCTCTGGCAGCCAGCTGCTACTGGTGTTTGTTACCAAGGTCGCTTATCACGTCTTCCTGGCCACGGACGAAATTGGCTCGAACCGCTTCCGCATCAGCAATGGGACAGGCGCGCAAAGGAACCATTCCACCATGAGCTCGGTTCACCTGGACCCCGAACTCTAGGCTTCGAGCATGGGGTCCTTTGCAGAAAAGTCCAACAGCTTCCAAGCAGAAGCGGTTTGCGGTTTGAAGCGACACGCGAGCAGCTTGCTACAGCTGCTGGGGCTTTGTAGTGGCGTAAGGCTCACGAGAGCGCTGCAAAGGCTACAGACGAGGATCGTAAGCTGGTAACCATTCGGAACGAGCAAAGGCTGCATCAGGTCAGACATCATCTACGCCGAATCTACGCAAGAGCTTTTGCGAGCGGAACTTTGCGGCAATGTCAAACTGAGTCGCAACACCATGTTGACACTGCGGACGCATCAACAAGCGATTTACGTGCCACGTCATTTATGTTTTGTCTCGCTCGGTGGGAAGAGGAAGATTCTCTGGGGCTCTGACGAGGCATCCCCCAAGGGAGCAACGAGTTTGACGTGGAGCCCGACACCACGGTCGACCCAACTTTAGTTGAAGGTGTTGCTTCAAGGTCACGTTGTGTCTAGGCTCTAGCCCCAGCCTTGCAACTTAGAGCTAAAACTGCAGCAAAGCTAACCTAATATGCAGCCACTTGGGCCAGCATATGACCCGGCCTTCAAGCTAGCTGTTTTGTGACCTTTCGGGGTTTGCCAGGTCTGGTTGGCGGGAAGCCAGCACGCAACCCACTTCTGTGTCTTCCAGGCATCATGGCATCACCCACTCCTCTTGGGGCTGCGACCCCTCTGCCATCAGCTTCAATCTTTGTTCTGCCTTGAGTCCCAAGCTTTGAATTGAATTTTCTTGCTTTCTTGCTGAAGGCCAAGGGGTCAAGGTCCCAAGCTTTGCTAACCGCTATGCTTTCTCTGGAGCTTCGACAGCCTTGTCATGTGCTCGAGTGTAACTGGCAAGAGAATGTTCGCGGTGGCCGTCGAGGTCTCGGTTGCCTCAGAGCTTAAGCTTGCTGCGCATGATGCATCCACGCATTCCCTGCGCCTAATCCCCGAAGAGAGGAAAGGGCTTGGAGCCCATGGACCCCGTTCCTGTGCACATTTGTGTACCCTGTGACATTGTAGGAGACGCGGCTGGTGGAAGAGAACACGCCTGCAGCCCTGGCCATCTCGGACACGTTCGTTCAAGCGCAGCAGGCCGCAAAAGAGGTCTAAGTGCAACGCTGCGTCCGCGACTGTGAATACGTGCTGTTGCAATATTTCTTGTACTGCTGCCGCCCGAGCATTCCCAAACTGTTTAGCATGTTGGTGATGCAGAAGCAACGCAAAGCATGTTGTGATCTGTCCTAAGCCACGTGGGATTCTCTGCGAAGGTTAGCTTCACCGATCTAGACCTGGACGTGAACCAATTCGGCGGGAATTTGACTTGGCAGCAGCCTTCTCTCGACACTGGCCTGATCACCCACTACATGGCAGCTCAGAGAAAATTGCTGTCGTGTGAGGTCACTCGGAACTTCTCGACAAGCAAGCGTTCATGTTGTTGACGCCGTGAAAGACACGAGCCCTTGTTTTCAAATCAGGTGTACTTCAGCTTGGACGCCGCTGGCCTGGACAACCGTGCCTTGTCACTGCACAGGAATGCCTGCTACCTTTCTACATGCATGTATGCTTCAGCAGTCTCCTGCAGCACGCTGTTGCATGCGGCATGGCATCCACAATGACAGCAGCCAGCCTGAAAAGAGACAGCAAGGTTATTTGTTCACCTACGTCCCACAGCCATTCTCTGAAATTGCCGTTCCGGCAGAAACATCGCCCTACCACCCAAGTGCCTTGGAAGCAAAGTTATCAGAGATTGCCAAGTCCATGCTTGCAAGGCTCTTGTTTCGAGATGTTTCGAGCCTTCCTAGGTTACTTTGGCCCGGACAACACCAGCATGCTCTTCGCTGCTTGCCTGCAGACCCTGAATCTGATCCGCCTCTGACAGCCTCAACCTCCTTCCGCTTTTGTGGTCCCATAGGCGAAGACTGCCGGAACACTGCCTCGGCTTTTCTGTTCGACATGGGAGATTTCAGGGTCGTCTTTGGCCTCACTTGAGGATTCACCTTGGCTCAATCTCTTCAACTCCAAGCTGCTTCCCTACTGTGAGCATTGTCGCAGCCCCCAAACCCTCGAACTAGTTGGAAGCTCCAGAACTACCTCCTCGTCTATGCGCGCTCGACGCTGGCAGAGCAGACGACGCCGGCCTACGTTGGCATCATCGACTCGGACATGCCGGTCAAAGATGTTTTCTGGGTGGGTGAGGCCGGGCGTGTAGCATCTTCGGGTTGGTGCACAGTCCCAAGCCCAACAGCCCGAACCTCTTTCCAAGGACCTGGACATCAATGACCTCCAGGGCACGTTGCAGTGGACGCCGCCGGAGAACATTTCGGGGGAAGTAATCACGCAACCGGACTTCAACTTTTTGCTTGCTTACGGCGACGACCACTTTCGATTGTTGTGGGGGTTTGCAGGGTCCCCTGCCCATCCCGACCATGCGATTTGGCGACCGCCGACCCACCCATCTTCACCCCCACCGATCCTTCCGAAAGTAGAGGCAGCAGGGCACTGCCGGTGCATGATCAACCGTCATGCCCAATGCCAATGCTCAAACCGACTCGCACGGATGGCGAGAACGATTCAGCTTACCTTTGGCCGGTCATCATGGATTGGAGCACCCACAGGTGGAGTGTGATCGGATTGCGCCAGGCCAGGCAGGCCCAGCCTTACAGAATTGATGGGCTGGCCTCGTTTCGGAAGAACCCTCGACCTCTGGCTTCAAGCCCAACTTGAAATATTTTGCAATTGGCCCCTTGAAGCCTTTCTGTAGCTTGGGAAGGCCTGCTTCCCCCAAAATGGGTCGGCAACAACTTTTTCTTCATAGGGTTGCCTCCCCAAAACAATTTGAGGGGTCTCAATCGAACTCTCTCGCTTTGCGTTATAGGGGCCCCCACGCTAATCCGACCTTTACAGTACCTCTGCAAAGGTATGCAGTGTACCTTGCGGATGCTAGCGATGGCGGCAACCGCTTGTTGGTCAACTGGACTGGCAGCCCCCTGCCTTGACAGAGCGAGGCTGTGATTTCGGCAGGGTTTGCGTTCTGATAAGTGGTCCTGGCTGGCAAAAACTGGAGCTGCCCTGGAGCAGGGTGAAGCTTGGACCAGCCAAGAAGCTGGATACTGAATTTCCTGCAAGTCGTCTGTCTAGCATAACATTTAGAGCCCAGTATTGTGCTGTGCTACAGTGAGCTTCTATGTGCCTTGCGGTGCACCAGCATCAAATTGCCGCCTCTTTTGCCTTGCTTCCTTGCTTTGTGCGAACTACTTGACCCACGTCGAGCTTCAAGCACACCCACGTCTGTGTCGCAATGCCGTGCCATGCTTCACAACCGGACTTCTGCACCAGCCCGCAACCCCCACCTGTACCCTAATCGGATTACAGCCTTTGACCTGCTGCGATCTGCCGCGAGCCCCTTGGCCAAGTCCTGTGCCCTGCGCTCTCCTAGCAGTGAAGCGGGAGGCTACAACGACACGGAGCTGGAGGAACTTGGAGCCCTTTCCTACGTGGAGATGGGCGAAGTGCCTTACGGTACCTGTGTCTACATTTTTGGGGTGCTTATTAGGTTGAGAAGAGTCGTGTAGCAGCGGCAAGGCACCAACAGCTTCGAAGTGCCGGCCGGAACCCTGCGGTCCAGTTACTCGCACTTCCTGGTCTACTCGCGCTCAGTCGGAGCCTCAAAAGGGGCCGAAGGTCTTCCGAATGGTAGAAGTCCCATCATGACAGAGGTGATGGCGACTCTTGCTGAAGTCTTCCTGTTTCAGGTAGTGGCTGTAGGTGGAGGCCGTGGGGCTGGTGCTTGCTGTCGTTCGAGGGTTGCCTGCTTCCGAGACCCTCGCCGAAGCCTCCACGCCGGCATTTCTGTCCTTCCTCGGCGCCGCCCTGAACGCCTCGGTCACAGAGGTGAACTTCACGGACGATGTAGCCCGGCTGCATAACCGTCCAGCTCGCAAGCCTCGGTTTGCAGGGGCAAGGTGCGAGCCCAGCCATACCCTGGCGGAATCTGACTCAATTAGGGGTACGGGGTTTTGATGGGTTTTGCCCTTTCCCGGGCTGTTGGGCGTCGTGCAGAGGTTTCTTGTCGTGCCTTTGTCCAGCTCGTCCCCAAACCTCAACACCACCATCCTGCCGGAACAAATCTGCAAGGACTTCCGATGTAGTCAGGGCCCCACCAAGTTTCCGATCAGCTCGACCTCGTTCTTGAACCCATAGAAGGGCCGGAATTCCTTCGTCGCATGCCCTCACTTGTTGTTGCCTGTGAAGCTTTGACGTGCACTTTGCAATGGTATCGATGGCCCGAAACTTGGGCATCGCAGCCCTGCTGGACCTTGTGGGTGTCAACGCCATGCTGTCCGAGCTGCTTGAGGGCAGCAAGCCCCACTTAAAGGAGGCTTTGCAGGCTGCCCTGCGTTGTTTCCCTGACTACTATCCCTTCGACTACCGCAAGTGCTGCCGCGATCCCGGCAACGCGTGGTTCCGAAAGAACGTGGAAGAGCAGTGCTGGGCAGTTCAGAGCGGCATCACTTTCGAAAAGTGCTGTACCTTCAAGTTTGGACCGGGGCTTCGAGGTCTGCCTTATGCTAGCCACGCAGATCCATCTGCACCGACAGAGTTTGACCTGCCCGTTGGCCGCCTGGTTTTGAGGTCCGGCTTTGAGGAGCCTTTGGAAGACTTCTGGCCGCCCGGTTGGATTTATGCGAAGCTGACAGCGGACTTAAAAAGTGCGGTTCTTGACTCTGAAGCCTTCGGCTGGGAGGCGGGGGCGCAGATGCTCAGGCCTTTGCTTGAAAGGGCCTCTAGCTTGCGAGTCTTTGACGTCAGCTGTGGATTGGGGTTGAGCTCCATCACGGCAGCACGGGCAGGTCACAACGTCACAGCCACTGAGGTGTCGCTGGATTTGCTCCGGATGGCAGGGCGGAACGCGAAGCGGAACGGCGCTCGGATGCGCTTGCAGCGCTGGGACTTCTTCAGAGCCGTGCCCGGAGGTTGGCGTTCTTCTCCGTCGCAGTCCAAGGCTTACGACCTTTGCCTGATGGATATCGGCTGGGCCAACGTCCGCTTCCGGGAATTCCAGATGGGCAGAGACTCGAAGATGCCGTCAGCATCGGCGTGGCCCAGCGTGGAGAGGGTGCTGAAGGGCGCCTTGTTGCATTTGCAGCAGCTGGGAGGCTGTCGGCTTCACGCCTTCGTCGCCGCCTCGCAGGTCGTTTCCGAAGAGGGTTTCTACGTCGACGGTCACTTTGGCTACGCGAACTTCACGTTGGAACTCCTGCAAAGCCTCGCAAGCTTCGCCACGGCTCTTGAAGGTCGCACCAGGCCGAGGTGGCCGGTGGTGAGCCCACTTGGCTTCCTGGAGAAAGTGGGATGGACACCTCCCATCTGGCACCATCTCATCCTCTGGTAGGAACATCTCTGGACAGGCCCCTGAGAGATGCGAAAGCCGTGGGACTCGTCAGCCTTGGGGCTTTGTACGTTGCTTTTCGAGCCTGTTTGGCTCGATCTGCCGAATTTTTCCCAAACCCAGGCAAGCCGCTTCATCCTGAAGCCCAAGCCCATGCATCGGGGGTTCCAAGAGAAGGCCAGTCATCCCAGGACTTGGACCTTGGCGACCTGGGTGGCGAGCTGGTCTGATGCCCGGTTTGTTTTGTGTGAAGCCCAGGTAAGAGCTCTGTCGGCAAAGGGTGACGGTTCTACAGTGCTGTGGCAACGGGTTTAAGGTCCAGGGCTGTGGAATGGCGATGGCTTCGCACAACCTGTGTTGGTACACTTTCTGTCATGTCAAGGATCGCGAGTTTATACGGTCTCCAAACTGAAGCCTTCAGCTGAAGTCTCACACCCTACACCTGCCTCTTGCCGAGGTTTGGACGAAGCCTGCGGTGCTGGGCAAGGTTGTAGGCTACAACATCTACCTGGGCGTGGCTTGGCAGCACCACGCCCGCTTCACGTTCACTCACCCCACTGGAACCGAAATCCTGGAAAAATTGCCGCCAATCCGCATAGGCGCCAAAAGTATGACGCAGCTGAAACCTAGAAGGCGTGAGCGGCGTCGACTTCTCTTGACCTTTCCTCGTTGGCAAGGTTCAAAGGCCCTGTTTGCGTGGGACCCCACCTTCAAGCACACGGTTTGTGACCGCGGACCGCAGTAGTAGACTTATTATACTTGTCAGGGCGGCAGGGACTTTGTAAAGGCTTGAACATGCAGGCCGCATGCCCGAACGCCAAGTCGCCACATACTGTACCAGAGAGCCATCAACATCACGAATCCCGAATGGTTTGCTTCGTTCAGGATAGCGACGCATCTGGCTCTGTTCGATCCTCGTTACTCACGGCGCAAACTGCTGCATGGCTGCGCTTGTTCGCCTGCGGGTAGGTTTCGTTTGTGTCATGACAGGCGAACAGCCTTTTGTGCTAGGTAGGTTAATTGCAGAGCCTTCTGGCCTCGGTTTGCCCGATTGGGAGCGTGCACTCGATGCCGTACACCTACCCAACACGACTAGTCCTTGCAGTGGAAGGAACATAGCATCTGACATTGATAAGACTTGACAGATATGATATGATGTAGCTGTCCGGGCTGCCATGATGAAATCCAGGACCGTGGCAGGAACATGAACCCACTCTTGCTGGTTGTTTCTTTGTGTGTTGGAGTGTGTTTTGACGATTGTCTCAGTTCTTGCCCGGATGATGGGCACAGGTGGACGGCTTTCTCGTAGCAGAACTAGCTTGGACTTGAACTGTTTGCTGTTTCGAGGTGGGCAGTAGGCAGAGTAGATCAGCGTCATGCCATCGCAGCAGCCCTTCGCCTCGAGGGAGGCCACCCCACCCTGTCCCTGACCTCGACTTGAATCGCAAGGCCTCCTCCACAAGCTTCGTTATGCCGGAGAATGTGGCCACTCTGACATACAGGCCTCGCCCCGTACTTTTTTCTGGGGCTCGAAGTCCCAGCCTTCGCGTCGCGGCTCGCTTGTGCAAGAGCCGCAGGTATGTTCACGTCAACTCCTTCTCTGCCTTGGGTGGTGAGCAAACAACGCCTGTGGCTCACGAGTTTTATGACGCCTTTGTGTCTTGGCATGAGTGATTGGACTCTGTGCCCCAGCAGATTTTTCAGTCGTTTTCCGTAGTGGGCGCTTTGCGCGCACCTTTCGTCCGTCAGCTTGATGCCAGGCGAACGTTACCGATTTCTTCTGGGTGGACAGGGATCTGGATCCAGGTGAGATTGGCAGCCTGGGCGGCATTTTGGGATAGCGCCAGCATTCTCGGGCCTGCAATTCCGAACTTCACCTCCACTTTCAATGTGAAGAGCAGCTCTTTTACACAGAAACCCGGCGCAAGACGCTCGAAATCTCACCCCAAGCCGTTTTGATTCTGCAAGCAACCTCACGATTTTCGAGATTGTACCGGACGCTGATCTGGGGAATGTGCTTGTGGGGTGATGTGGGGTGGTAGTCGGGACCCAGCCTGACTGAGCTGGAGCGTGCTTAGGTGGTCCCTCGACGTACAGTCCTCCGGACTACATCTACCGCACCTCAGCCGAACCTTAAACAGGAGTCGCAGCACGTGCAGGGTTTGACGAATCCTTGGAGACGCACTGCAGGTACGGAGTACTACGTGCTCTACCTGGCTGCTGGGCCCAATGGAGAGGACAGATCTCAGATGGGCCAGGAGGCACGGCTAGGGCGCTTTCCTCTCCTGAACCCTCTCTAAGATGCCAATTTCAACGTGACCGCTCTCTCTCCTGAAGAAGAACAGTCTCCCGACAAGCCGGATCACTGTGTAGGTGCCTGTGGGCATCGAGAGAGCGGACGTGTTCGTGGACACTCCAACGGAGGTTCATGGGTCGCGGGGAGTGGTTCTGCCCTTGTAGCTCACAGCTATAACAGCAATCTCTCACACCAACTGGAAGAGGGGACACTTCAAGCCATCTCAAACCTCTACTGTGCTGCTTGGGCGATCGTCATCAAGTTCAAGTGTTTCGGCTTCTGAGCTGAGGGCTTGCGCTTTGCACTGGAGTGGGGTTCCAGACATGAAGTATGTGATGTGGTTTGGGCATTTCAGGGTGCATGGCCAATCATCTGTGCAGAACTGGACCCACCTGCTCCTCTACGTGCGCTCTCCGCTCTTCGAGCAGACAACGCCGCAGCTTTGCGAGTCAAGAACAAACCGGTTGCTGCGCGGGTTTAAGGCTTCAAGCTTGAGTCCAGTTGGGCTGAGAGACCAAGACTTCGCGTCGCGTCATTTTCTTGACATCTTCCCATCGCATGTCTGTGTGCACATTTTGGTGTATCTGTAGAACATTGGAATGCCAATGGCAGGTTTCCTTGAAGAAGCATTGGAAACATCAACGTGTTCCGTGATTTCCATGTCCGAGGACTCTCCAAGAGCGGGGTCTGGAGATCTTTCTGATATCAGGGAAATCACGGAACACACCAATATGCTCACAAATTTTCCTCGAAGAAACATTGGGAAACCTCACCGTGTCGGTGATTTACATGTTGATGTTCAGCGGCATGTCATATTCAGCTACTGGTAGCATGCACTCACGACATTACCATTTTCTGTTATTTGTGTGTTGATCTTGGGAAAAGGCATAGGCAGCACCCTGCCAGTGTTGAAGCAATGAATTACATAGCGTGCCGCTCATGTTCGGGTTTTGCATACGGTATGTGACGGTTCAGAATGAATCCACTTGCTTTTTGAATTTAACTAATTATAAGGAGCATGAACTAGTTCAGCACCTGTATCATTGCTAAGCATGTGGTTTTCACGCAGTATTTTGCTGGATTTTGATGGGTATTTACCCAACACCGTTGTAATGAAGCAGTATCAGGGAATATCGGAATAATTGATCAGGGCAGTCAGTCTGATTAGATAGATACTCATGCAAGACGTAGTAGTTCAGCACTAGCTGAGTTCCTAAAGTTCGAACATAGTGCTCGCTGAAGGCGAAAGTATGGCATGCTTTGTGAATGGCGCACAATTGCCCGTTTGAACAGCGTTTGTAAACAAGCGGCATATTCCGAAGAGGTGAACTGCACTGCCTAAATAACAGCTGCGTGTGTCAAATTTGTTTTCATGTGCATTGCGTTTGGGCTTTAACCTTTACATGCGACTTGAATATTGAACAGCATATCAATATCATTCAGGTTCTAAGTATGTTTTGATGATATTGGATGTTGTTCGGTGGACATGCTGGTTCAACGAGAATAGCAAAGTAATTACGCTGACCAATTTTTTAAGCATGGTTTCTGATACGTCTACGTGTATAACCAATACTGAACATCAGTGGAGTATCAAGCAAATCTTGAAACACGCAGTAACTACATACAAACCAACGCAAACAGCAGAACGCTGTGTAGATATTAAATGATAAGCAAGTATAAATCCAGCAGTAGATGAACGACATATGTGGGAAATAGTCGAGAAGTATGACTTGAATATTGAACAGCTATCAATGAGTTCAGTAGTATCTAAAAGAGCTGCTACTTCTGATTCAACCATGAGCAAAAACTATCATGTCTTCACTCGGCACCTGTGGGAGATGACTGCATCGCTCCCCGCCGGGTTCGCATGTCCTTAGAAGTTGATGGAATGTGCCGGTATTGGTGTTGCTTTTCCATGACATCATGTTATCTTAGCTAGCGTAAGCTTGCGGTATAGAAATCAAACTCGTGAATGCCAAATTCACTTGTGTTTTTGTCTTTGTCGGTTCTGAGTGTACCAACGTGAGACAAACCTGCCCCGTTGGGCCAGCACAACGCGCATCTCCGTGGCATCTCTTGCCAGGTCTTCGGCACGAGAAACACGTTTCTTCTGATGCTACTGATGCCGGCCCCAGGGTCCTGATGCTGCTGATGCTGGTTTAGCGGTGCTCCTTTGATCAACGGAATGGAGAAGACCATGCGGGAGAAAACACAACAAATTCATTGGTAGCCCAAATAGGCAAAACATACGATTTGCCTTTGCTGGCCTATATTGTGCTTCAAGCTCAGTTTCAACACCGTACACGATGTTACTTCGAGGGAAGCAACAATGGTTCAAGATACAGCAAACAAGAGCCTCCATCTTGGAGCATGTTGACTTATATGCTGCTCGTACCTGCTCAAGAACTGCTGACGTATCTGATTTTCACGTTGCTCAAGAGCCTCGAAGTCCTCAACCACGACGCCTTGCAGCAAAGTCGTCAGCCCGAACACCGAGAACACTGCAAGCCCTCAGCTCGAAAACTGTTCGCCCAAGTCCTCAGCCACACACCCCTGAAAGCCCTATGCCATGCTCCGCACAAATGCCTTGGAAGGTTTGAATGAGCTTCTAGCTTTACCGAAAGTCTGGTTGTATTTTCATCGTTTTGCTTGGGTTATGGCTCTGTTTGGAGCGGGGGCGTAGGATTTTTGAGGGACCTTAACGAGATAGTTTTGCGCACCAGCTGATTCCATGAAGGCAAGTACTTCCCATCTCGGACGTGGCTTTGTCGGCCTCTCGGCCATCGACTTCGGCGAGCTCTGATATTTGAGTGGCTCCCGTTGCCACCGTAGATAGTTTCGCTTAGGGAGCGGCTGGCAGGGTTGCCATGTTACGACTTCGGGACTCTCACCGATAAAACTGAAACTCCTACTTGCAGGTAGATTGTAGAACGACACGGCGCACCAAGACATTCTCACGACCTGTTCTGCCATGAGACCAGGTTGATGACCTTGAGTTCTTGGACCAGGCTCCGAACATGCCAGCCTATCTCTAGCCTGCTTGCCTCCCTCTTATGATTAATCAATGGCCATCACTAGTGAGGCAGAGTCTTGCTTTGAAATGCCGCAGGACCTGGATGCCGAACAGCTCGGAGGTGCGCCGAGCACAAGTAAAAGGCTTCGTACAGGTCCGTTGAAACATTGCTGCCCCCGTACATCCGAAGCCGGCAAACTATCGTTTCGAAGCCTGCGTAGACCAAAGTTCACTCGAAGCCATCTGACACTCTGAAGAACATAAGCAGTCAGACTCCGATTCCGAGCAATGTATCTTGACTGCCGGAATCGCAGGTTATATTTTCAGGCTGTCACTTCCCTCCCCTGCACGGCCGCGGCATCAAAGATTAGAATTGCACCTTTACCGCGGAGTTGTTAATCTTCCTAGTCCTAGTCTTCCCGGTAGAATCTTGGTTCATACTTGTACAGGAAACTCAGAACTGCGCCTAGGCACACTGCTCGCAGCTACAGTAGGCGGACCACGGCAAGAAAAAACAGTCGTAGTCGTGATGGCAGTTATTATGACAAACCATAGCTGTTCGAGTGGTGGTCAGGTACTCAGAGTGCTCGGATACAGAGGCATCACAGCGGTAGTTGCCAGCCTCAGCAACGATCGACTAGGTGTAACTAGTCAATTTAAGCACGCGCACAAGAGACAAGGAAGAACTCTGGTGATTTCGAAAGTTGTGGCAATGCTATTATGAGTGGTAGAAAGGGATTAGGAGAAGATCTTACTTCAGGCAGAGGGAGTGTCATTATCCGCAAAGACGGTACAAAAAGCAACACGAGCAAGCAAAACGAGCAAGAAAAAATGCGAATAGCTGTGAGTGAATATCGGTGCTGACAGCAGCAGCATTCAGCAACGGCAGTAATATCCAGCACCGTCACCATGAGCATCGCAGTCATCATTGAGTCATCATCGTCACAATCCTGCGGTCGTCTTCATACTCTTCATCTTTGCCGTCATCCTCATCCCGACTGTTGACATCGAGCCTCTTGCGCTTTCCGAATTGACGCAGGGTACATTACCTGGAGTCGCATTCCAGACGAGAGCTTGGTCACGCACTATGCGGCCTGACTGACTATACTCACATTTCTTGAGCCGGGGAGTTTTGTTGCCTAGGGCCCAACCAAGCTCCGGACAGCAAATGAATCGTGGGCTTTGTAGTTTTAGACCTTATGATGTTTAGGTTTGGAGCTTTGAGTGTTTTCTAGGCGCGGAGCTGTACAGCGGAAGGCTTAGAGCATTATGCCGTTGGGCTTTTGGGTTTTTAGTTCAAGGAGCCCGAGTGAGCATCTACGGATATGCAGGAGCAAAGTTGTGCCCCTTTTGTGAATTCAGAGACCTGCAGGTCATTTATTGGACCGAGCTGCCGAACGCTACGGAGGTGCGCGGTAAACTCAAAACCGGACTAAAGCATGCGTCTCGACACACCGCTGAGAGGTCATTGATCAGTCCGGTTCGCGAAGACTGGAGGATGAGGCCTCTGACGGAAAATCAGACTCGCGAAGGTTGGCCGGTAGCTCCTTGGCCTGCACATAGTCTAGGGTTATGGCTCGTCTTGCAACCTGAGTTTGGGCCTTTGTGTTGGCAGCCAATAGGTCTAATTCAGAACCGTCTCCCCAAAGCCCACTGTGCTTGAAGCAGTAGCAGTAGCAGCAGCCGTAGCCTTAGCGGTAGCCGTAGCGGTAGCAGTAGCCGCAGCAGTAGCATTAGCAGCAGGAGCAGTAGCAGGCTATCGCACTGGCAGCAGCATAAGCAGTAGCAGCACTAGTAGTAGTAGTAGTAGTAGTAGTAGTAGCAGCAGCAGCAGCAGTAGTAGTAGTAGTAGCAGTACTAGTAGCAGTAGCAGTCCCAGTAGCGGTAGCCGTAGCGGTAGCGACAGCGGTAACGATAGCCGTAGCAGTAGCAGTAGCAGTGGCAGTGGCAGTAGCAGTAGCAGTAGCAGTAGCAGTAGCAGTAGCAGTAGCAGTAGCGGTAGCAGTAGCGGTAGCAGGAGCAGTAGGAGTAGTAGTAGCCGCCGCAGTGGCAGTAGCAGTAGTAGCAGTAGTACCAGCAGTAGCAATGTTAGCAGGATGAGGAGTTGTTTTGGTTTTGCTGTTGCTGCTGCTGCTGTCAAAATGACGGCGA